ACCGCGAGTCTCTCTCGTTCCCACAGAATCTCCTATCTGTCCCCCCTACTATGGAGTCCCCAATGACTAATGCTCTCCTCCCCTCCCCGCTTCTGTTCTGAGCAACAGGGACAGACTCTGTGCCAGAAACCTGTACCCCATGGCTTACTCCTGGTAAGTCGTCCCCCCTCAACAGTAACCAAAATGGTATACTTGTTGTTGAGGGGAACGGCTACAGGGGATCCCTGCACTGTCTGCCTGTTCCCTTTCCATCCCCTGACTGTAACCCATCTGTCTTTTTCCTGTACCTGAGGTGTGACTACCTCCCTGTAACTCCTCTCAATTACCCCCTCAGCCTCCCAAATGATCCGAAGTTCATCCAGCTTCAGCTCCAGTTCCCTAACGCGGTTTCTGAGGAGCTGCAGTTGGGTGCACTTCCCGCAGATGAAGTCAGTGGGGACACTAGCGGTGACCCTTACCTCCCACATTCTACAGAAGGAGCACGCAACTGCCCTAACATCCATTCCCACTGTTCTGAATTCTGAAAAAAAAACTAGTAACCTTACAAATCAGCGCTCAGAAGCTTTTTTTTTGGTTAGCGGAGGAGGATGGGTGGGAGACACTATCTAAGTAGTGTTTCGGGTAAAGCAACCGCCCAAATATATTACCTCACTTACTCAGCCATCCCGTGTCCGCTCCTGCTCAGCGTGCACTCCGCCTATTCACGAGGTAAGCTTTTAAACGATTAACTTACCTTCCCGACAGCCCCCTGGTCCTCGCTCTCACTGCTCCCGCTGCTGCTGCAAAAATGGAGCTTATTCTTAGTCAAATAGTTTGCTAACACACTGCTGAGGCTGAAAATTCGAGTCAACGTGACTCAGATGGTTTGTACTTTTGCCTAAGTAATGAAGGTTCCAGGCCCAAGTCCCACTCCATGGCTTGAGCATGAAAATCAAGTTGACACTTGGTGCAAGATCGGAGGATTAGAGCAGTGTCTTTGAGTTGAGACATTTAGCCAAAGGCCCTGTGCCTGCTTGACTGACTGTACAAGATACCATGTCACTATTTTGGACAAGAGGAAGGCAGTTATCCCAGATTGCTAGCCAATAATTACCTTTCAATGAACAATAGATTATTTTTTCAACACATCGATGCTTTTTTGCTGCAAGCTATTTGTTTCAAACACTGAAATGCCAACCACTACCAGTTTATGACTGGGGTAGTTTGTACCATTAACCCCTTTTCTTGCCTGGTTAAAAGGGCCCACTTGATTTACAATGGTTGAAAAAAAACAATAGTTAATCTTAATGAGAAGAGACCATGGTCTTAAACTACAAAGGCTGTCACATTTCCTATGTTAAATCAAGTGACGACAGTTCAAAACTACGGTACTTAATTGCTTTAAAGCACTTTGAGACATCTGGTGATCATGAAAAGTGTAAATGCTTATCTTTAGAAACTACGTTACCTTTGAAGTATTTTGAAAAGCACAATATACTGAAGGTGCCTGAAAAGCTTCCGCTGTGTGATGCGTTATATAAACTTTAGCATTCCAACTCAAATCAGTCCCTGAATGAAGACTTAAAATGAATCAAAAATCCAGTCCAATTTACACATCAAGGTCAGATGAAAATTGTAAGTCAAGTAGATGGAATGCCCTTGTGGCAAATTATTACATGGCCAATATTGCCTCTGCACAGGTAGATGGATTGATCTGGAGCAGGGAACAAACAGGCTGTGCGCAACCTTTAAAATGTGTGGCCACGGAACAAATTTGAAAAGGACCTGGCAGTGAAACAAACAGGTCACACACACAAAAAAATTATCGAAAAAGGTTATTTATCACCCTTGCACAGGAAGGATAGTCAGAAGGCTGTGCAAGTCCCTGAGTTCTTGTGGGCTATTTGACATGAGAATAAAGACCAACTAATGTGCTCCATAGCCCCATTGAGATCAGGCAACCAAGCAGAGTAAAAATCAGATTTATGATTCTCTTAAATCTTCAAATTCTCCCTTTTTCTCAAGGCTCTGACTCTCACTGGGGTACAGTTGCACCATTATTAGAGGTGAGGATGGGTCAGCACTTCTAGCAAACACGTGAGAATAAATGTCATGTCAATCATTGAAGTGGCTGAGGATTTGCTTGCAATATCACCCATACATCCAATGAGAATTGTGCTGCATACTATAGCATTAAGATACATCAACTCAGTAACATTCTCATCAAATACAATACCAACTATGCAACAGTTGCACAATAACATGGATTAATCGAATCATAAAGCCAGATCATTCAGGCTGTCCGCTTCTACTCTGTATTCAGATTTTAACTGCAACTCAAATGAGTGAAGACACCTTACAAAGCCATAATATTACTTCCGTGGATTGTAAACCTCTTTATCTTCTTGAAGCACAGCACAACAATATAGATTAGTGCAACTCACATCAGATCTCCATTGTGTCCTATCAAAAGAATGCAGATGTTTCAAATCTTAAAGCACATGCTTCTCATAATATCCATCAGCACTCTTCCAACACATTTAAACCGGAAAATTACTCCAAGGAGCTTCACAGAAATGTAATACAATATAATTTGACACCTAGTCGAAGGAGTAACCAAAACAGATGATTAAAATCTTGCTCAAAGAGCTGTTTTAAGGAGTTGGTTGAAGTGGAAAGTCAGAAGTTTGAGAAGGTATTCCGAAGCTTAGGGTTTGAAATGCATCAGCCAACAACATGAAAAGGATGGGGGAGGGCATTTGGTCTTAGCGTTACAGCAATATACAGCAGAACAATCCAGGCAAGTGGAGATGCCACTCGAGTGCTAACCTGATTTTGCGATCAGCTTTTAAGTGAGATCACTCCTAACAGCCTGTTGATCAGAAATGTAAGGTCACAGATCTGAAAATTAACACTGGTTTCTCTTGTTATGAAAATTATTGCACATTACTTTTGGAATTCTGATCCCAAAACAGAGGCAGATGGTGTTGGTTACATTAGTTTTCTTTCAAAAAAGGATCAAAGAATTCTTCCAAAACAGTGACCTAATTCAGCAATCGTCAGAAAGCAGGTAATTGAATATTCCTGTGGTTTAATGGAAAGATGCTCATACTGTTAGGTTTATGATAGCAGGGTCAAACATTTAAGGTCATTAGATTTTTCTGAACTGAAAACAAAGCTAAGGTTAAGTAGATTGTTTTAGCTCAGTTCAGAAACTCCAAGGTTGAGTTTAGAAGCAAGTTCAGGAACAGGAATTCAAGGCAGTTGAGCGAAGCAATAAACCTAGAAGAAGGATATAACTTGTATGGCTTCCAAAACATGACAGTTTGGCTTGAAATCTGTTTGTTATTAGAACTGAGAAAATTTAGCTTCTCAAGTTCGTGAGAAGTTCGTGTAGGCAGATTTGGAAAGGACTCATCAAATTGTTTCCACAGTCCAAAGGAAAGAAACTGTAAGGTATCAGGTAAATAGAAACATAAGATTTGAAATAAGGATGTAATTTCTTTGAATTTGAATCTCTAACAGATAGTGCTGAGAAAGAAGTTGCTTTAAATAGCTTGGTTTTTATTTTATTCTTCTTTTGTGTAACAAACTTCTGTCTTCATGTGATTATGTTAACTAGTCAAACAAAACCAAGCATATCTGTCAAATTACCATTTCTTTCTGGGATTTCAGTATTTGCCATTTTTTTAATCTGATTTCCTGCACCACAGTATTTTGTTTTTGTGTTAGCCCATAATAGGAGTTTGAAAAGTCAGCTATTCTGTGGACTTGTTGGTACAGAACAAATACTTTGGAATTAACAAAGCAAATATAGCAAGCTGGATTGGACTGGTGAGGAGCAGTGATTGTACCTTCTTAGTGTATGCATGATACTGAGCTAGACTAGTCTATTTTCACTTCCCCTCAATTCAAGGATAATGCATATTTAGGATTGTGAGTTTTTGCCATCAGTCTTCAAGTGATCAAACAGGCCAATTCTTGATCTATAGACCTTTGGGGACACAGTACTGAATGTCCCATGAGGCAATGAGTTCAGGAGTGCAGGATTTGTTTCCTTTTCTTTCCTTCTCTGCCACCACTCTACATCTTCCGTGGGGTATTTGTATTAAAAGCATGATACAATTTAATGGACAAGTTGTCACCATTTTTAATCAACTGCTAGCAAGATGTTCCCAATCATAAATGTCAATGTTGTCAGGCCTCAGGAGAGCTTCAAGAGTGTGTGTGTAGCATTTACTTTGTCCTTCCCTGGAACGCTAGCCATATGAGAATTAAGAAACCAGGACCTAGTGGAAAAGACACTTATCTGCCATCCAGACCATATCTAGTCTATAGTAGTTGATCTTGCAGGAGATATCCCAAATGTTCATGGATCTGAATTTTTAAAAAATCACCATTTGTTTGATGGTTCTTCTATTGAATCTATTGGTGGTGGAGATATGCTTGGAGGAATTTCATTCATGCCATTAGGTGTTGCTGATACTCCTCCTTCAGTCTCTTCTGTGATTTCACTACATCTTCACAAACATCTTCGATAATCTGGTGTTAGGAAACGGATAGGGGTTAAAAAATTAATTAGTCAAGGTACCTAACAAGGTACCTAGTCATCTAACAACCTCTACTAGAAGGTGTATATTGGTGTACAGTGAATGGGGGCTTGAATGTAATTGTCTCTTTCACCCCAACTCCATCCTAATAACCATGGGAAACTGAAGCAGAAGGCAGCAACTTAGCCCTTCGATCCTGCTCCAGTCAGCTGAGAATCAATGTCTGAGCCTGTGCATTGCTACTTGTGCTTGGCACAGCAGTATCTAATGCCACTGGACCCATATCCCAATAGAAAGCAATGCCTCCAGGAGATGGAGAAACAACTTTGCAAAGACCAGAGCATTTAGAAACCTGAATCCACAGTGGCTAACAAAAATGGAGAAACTCCATTTAGATCACTGTATAAATATCGAAGAAACTAATGAGTAATGATGAAAAACAACTGAAATAGGAGAGAGCTAATCCTGAGACAAGTTGTAATAAAATATTTATTTAATACCAAACTCTGTAAATTATTTACAGAAAACTCCAGAACATTATTTTTTAACGCTGACTACACTTTTAACTAGCACCTATAGTGGCATTGCAAGATAAGCATATTCCATAGACATCTGTTCAATCCTACAAAGAAGTTCCTCCAGGTTTAAAGGCGAGACCAGTCAAATCTTCAGACCAAAACAACACCACTTCTCCGAAAACACAATTCGCTTTTTGAAATCTATGGCACATAAAACAATGAAAGAAGTACTTATGAGATTTCTGCAAATTATCATGAATTTCTCTTTCAGTTCAGTGAGACTCACTCATCCCGGAACTTTTCACTATCGGTAATGAAAAATGAACCTTCTTCAGGTCACAGAATCACTATGGCATGGAAACAGCTGTTCAGCCATTGTGCCTGCTCTGGTTCTATTACCTCACACCAATCTCCTGTCTTTTCTCCATATTCCCGCACACCATTTCTATCCAGATCATCCTGCCTTAATTCTAAAGAATTTCAAGAATCATGGTATCAAAAGAGTTTTACAACGCAATGATTTTAGTAATTTGTTCAGACAGTGTGACCTCCTTGTAAAGATATCAATTTGTCACATTACCTTTCAAAAGTTCTCTCATCAACTATCTTGCAGTCTTTTTTTTAAAATCAGTTTCCTGAAGACTATTCTAAGTTTAGCAATTTATGCAAAAAATGTCCAATTACTAATCTCGTTCCTTCTGATTATCACTGACAGTTTTGACCCTCTAGTTACTCATGCAACATTCAGTGCATACTCATCATAATCGAGCATCCAAATCAGAATCCCTCTCAAACTTCAAAAGCAACAGTTTGTCTAGTCTTTCCTCAAACCTATCACCTCAATACCTCACTGAGACCCACGTGATGCTTCAGTACCCTCTACATGGCCTTGACATGGTTTTTAGCGTAAAGTAATGTGGAAGTAATATCATAATTCTAGCCTAACCAATGATTTTTATAAATTCAGCATGAGTTTCATTCTGTATATTCCTACTTATAAAACCAGCATTACTTATGATTTGCTTCAAAACATTACCTTTTACTAACTTGAGCTCCTAATTTTAAACATTTTTGTTTTGTAACCACCAAATCTCTGATCCTACTCATGTTTTAACTCACAGTGTAAATATTTCTTTCTGACTCTTTCTCCCAAAATGTATCAGTTCATACTTCTCTGGATCAAATGACATTCAAAATTATCTAATAACATCTCATAAGCGGTCCATCATCTTTCCTCTTTCCCCCAAACCCATTCAGCCAAGCTACTTGTCCAGCAGAAATTTCTTGTAATTTAATCCTGGGAACACCGAAACAAGTGCTTTTAGTCCAAGGCTGAAGTTTCACGCCCAAGCCACCAACTCCATCTTTCTTCCTTGTGTCTGAGGATGAAGCAGACTGTTTGCAACCTAGGTGTCACATCTGACTTCAAGTTGAGCTTTCATCCTGATGTTCGCAACATCACTAAGACCGCTTATTTCCATATCCATAACATTAAGTGCTGCTGCTCCTGCTTAATCTTCTGTACTGCTCAAACTCGAATTCATGTCTTTTTCACCTCTGTAGAGAGAAAGCAGAGTTAACCTTTCAGGTCTAGTGACACTTCTTTGGAACTGATTGTTCCTAAGAAAAGGTTAGTATATAGGCTGAAGATGGTCAGGAAGGGGCCGGCGGGGGTGGAGATGGTAGTAAAATGATAGGTGAAGTAAAGATGGAGTCCAGAGAGAGAGAGAGTACAGCAGTTCGGCAGACAAAGCCTGGAGAATCAACAACTGCTAAAGGGGACCAGTAGTAGCTGACAACAGGTTGGTTGTGGTAGCAGTCCATATGATGACAAGGCCTGTTGTGTGGGGTATGGAGGAAGGATATAGAATAGAATATAGGATACAGAACAGAATAGCAATTTATTGTCATGTGTAAATTTACAAAACAAAAGCAAAAAAAGTTTTACAAGTCGTCATATCATGGCGTCTGTGTTAATGATAGAAGTCATAGATAAGAAACAAAGAAGTAAAAATTGAGGTAAAGTTCATCTCAGATCAATTTTAGTTCGGGAAAAGCTGATTAAAACTATGAACTCTGGAATTACCAGCTGCTGGAGACCTCCACACCAGGAAGTGATCTCCACACCAGGACAAGACTGCCAAACCGAGACCGCATCTCCAGGGCAAAGCGACCGCCGCACGAGGCCACTGGAATACCTGGAACAAGACCTCCACGCCATGCGGCTGGAATGTCCAGAAGCCACTGCCGAAGACCTCAACACCGGTATGAGATCGCCACGCTGAGCCAAGACCGCTCCTCCAGAATGAGGCCGCCATACCAGGCTTGAGGCCTCCTCGGTGCTGGGCCAATGTCAGGAAAAGACGCCTTCCACTGAAGCCATTAAAAGAGGTAAGATGATATATGGAGGCATTAAAAAGAAGTAGAGAAAGAAAAAAGGTAAAAAGTGAACAGAATAGACAAGCTCCAGTCTCCTGGGCTAAAGAGCCCTCAGCTGCGCTGCTACTCTGCCACCATCCTGACACACAGAAAACGGAAGAAGGTTCTCAGATCCCAAAATTATTTAACTAGATATCAAATTCTGAAGGCTACACGGTCCCCAAGCCAAAAATCAGTTGGAGCTCTTCCAGCATCTGACCAATATCTTTATCTCTGTCACTGTTTTGCTGTAATGCTCCAGTGAAGCTAAGCACAAGCTGAAGAATGGCATCTCATTTTTCACTTGGGGGCCTTGCAGCCTTCAGCATTAGCTTTTCAGGTCAAACTTGCGGCTTCTTTCGTAAATGCACTGCCTCAGTCAGTGAAATTTAAATCCATTCTATAATGCTCCTAGCCTTAAGAAAGCACACTATTTCTTTATCTCTGTTGAAGAAATTAACCTCACTTCACCAACTAGCAAATTTTGAAACTAGATGATAATTTATTTAATACATTTCAAAATACATTATATACACACTCATATTTCATTCAGGTGACATCCTATCTTAAATGATGCAGCACAGTAGGAGACCATTCAGCTCAGCATGCCTTTGCTGGTTCTTTGGTACAGATATACAATTAATGATCTTTTTGTCTATGTTTAATGCCAACAAGTAGTAGAGTGCCACACATGCAGAGAGACACAGGTTTGCTGTACCCGGTCTCCAGCTTGCATGTAACCCAGCCTGATCTGCAAGGTCACCCAGGTTCAGCTTACTTTATTCCTTCATGGCATGCAGATGTTGCTGGCAGGGACAGCACTTATTGCCTTTCCTGAGTTGCCCTTGAGAAGGTAGTGGTGACCTATGTATCCTCTAAATTTCCCAACTACAATGCAGCAACACCTTCCAAATTCAGAAATCATTGTGTCTGCACAATTATCAGCATCCTCTGAAGGGTGCAATCCATTTGTGGGTAAACAAAACCCCACTACGTTATTTTCCAGGTTTGCAGCATACACCACATACATTGCAGAGTCACCCTGTCCAGCCGCTATCTCCACCTGGTCAAATCACACAGACTGAATCAAACAAACAAGTGACTGCCCATCATCAATTCTCACACTGCTCATGCTACACTACTAGGGACAGCGTCTGCACCTCAGCTCTCCAACCCTGCGACTAATGGATAATCCACACATGCCCATGGCAAGAAACGCTCTGTCGTGCAATGTGATGTCACCAGCACCATCTGTGCAGCACAGGCAGCCAGCTTTGCCACCATCTTGGCGATCACAACATACACCTCAATTTCTTTTCCTCCAAGTAATTTTCCAATTTCCTTTTTGAATGTTTCTATTGAATCTACTCCTATCATCTTTCAGGCATTGCACTCCAACCAACTGCAAATAAAAAAGTAGTCTCATGTTACCTCTGGTTCCTTTGCCAGTCCCATTAATCAGCTCCCTCCGAGTACTGGCCTATCGGCCACCATTGTAACTTACTGCAAACTATTCACTGATCAGCCCTGTGCTTGCTGGCCTATACCAGCTCCCAGGTAAATAATGCCGTGATTCTAAAATTTCTATTCTGGATTCCAAATTCCTCCATGAACTTGCTCCTCCCTCTGTCTGAAATCCCCTTGTCTTACAATCCTCCAACATCTATGCTCCTCCATTCTGATCTCTTGATTGCCTCGATCATAATTGCTCCTCCACTGATGGGCATGTCTTCAGATACCTTGGTCCGAAATAAACATGAACATGATTCTGGAGACCTTCCCATATACTGACAACCCACCTTGGACTCCTAACTTTCTCCTTTGCTGCAAAAACTGGCACAGTGTCACTGAGTTTTATAAATGAACATCACTATAGAGTTATTCCCAGAACAGAAACCAGCATCTGTGAAAGTATCAAGACATGGGGTGGAAGGAATACAGCCATGCAGACAGTACCTAGGGTGAACTACAGTCTGACAGCCCCACTAGAAAAAACATTTAAGAATTTTTTTAAAATTGCACAAGCTGCATCAAAATGTTAAGTGGTGTATTTAAGGGAAGCTTGATTAACACACAGGGGAGAAAGGAATAGAGGATGATGTTGTAGAATTCAATGAAGGATGATAGTAGACTTGTATGGAACATGAATACTGGCATAAACCTGCTGAGTAGAAAAGTCAATTCCTAAATTATAAATTCTATGTGATGTTTAGTAATGATGCTTTGGAAAATAATGGAGGAAATCAAGGGAGAAGAAAACGGATACATATAAAGCAGGTGGGCGAGTCCACCAGTGTATTTCTTAAGTGATGAAGCTAAAAACAACCCAAAGAGAGTGTTAGAGATAACAAGGTGTACAGCTGGATGAACACAGCAGGCCAAGCAGCATCAGAGGAGCAGGAAGGCTGACGTTTCGGGCCCAGACCCTTCTTCAGAAATGGGGGAGGGGAAGGGTGTTCTGAAATAAATAGGGAGAGAGGGGGAGGCAGACAGAAGATGGATAGAGGAGAAGATAGGTGGAGAGGAGACAGACAGGTCAAAGAGGCAGGGATGGAGCCAGTAAAGGTGAGTGTAGGTGGGGAGTTAGGGAGGAGATTGGTCAGTCCAGGGAGGATGGACAGGTCAAGGGGGCGGGATGAGGTTAGTAGGTAGGAGATGGGGGTGGGGCTTGAGGTGAGAGGAGGGGATAGGTGGGAGGAAGGACAGGTTAGGGAGGCAGGGACGAGCTGGGCTGGTTTTGGGATGCGGTGGGGGAGGGGAGATTTTGAAGCTTGTGAAGTCCACATTGATACCATTGGGCTGCAGGGTTCCCAAGTGAAATATGAGGTGCTGTTCCTGCAATCTTCGGGTGGCATCGTTGTGGCACTGCAGGAGGCCCAGGACGGACATGTCGTCTGAGGAATGGGAGGGGGAGTTGAAATGGTTCGCAACTGGGAGGTGCAGTTGTTTAGTGCGAACTGAGCGTAGGTGTTCTGCAAAGCGGTCCCCAAGCCTCCACTTGGTTTCCCCGATGTACAGGAGGCCACAACGGGAACAGCGGATGCAGTATACCACATTAGCAGATGTGCAGGTGAACATCTGCTTGATGTGGAAAGTCTTCTTGGGGCCTGGGATGGGGGTGAGGGGGAAGGTGTAGGGGCAGGTGTAGCACTTCCTGAGGTTGCAGGGAAAAGTGCCGGGTGTGGTGGGGCTGGACGGGAGTGTGGAGCGGACAAGGGAGTCACGGAGAGAGTGGTCCCTCCGGAAAGCAGATAAGGGTGGGGAGGGAAAAATGTCTTTGGTGGTGGGGTCGGATTGCAGATGGCGGAAGTGTCGGAGGATGATGCGTTGGATCCGGAGGTTGGTGGGGTGGTACGTGAAGACGAGAGGGATTCTGTTTTGGCTGTTATTGCGGGGAGGGGGTGTGAGGGATGAGTTGCAGGAAATGCGGGAGACACGGTCGAGGGCGTTCTCGACCACTGAGGCGGGGGGAAGTTGCGGTCCTTGAAAAACGAGGACATCTGAAATGCACGGGAGTGGAATGCCTCATCCTGGGAGCAGATGCGGCGGAGGTGAAGGAATTGGGAATAGGGGATGGCATTTTTGCAGGAAGGTGGGTGAGAGGAGGTGTATTCTAGGGAGCTGTGGGAGTCGGTGGGCTTGAAATGGATATCGGTTTCCAGGTGGTTGCCAGAAATGGAAACAGAGAAGTCCAAGAAGGAGAGAGAGGTATTAGAGATGGTCCAGGTGAACTTAAGGTTGGCGTGGAAGGTGTTGGTGAAGTGGATGAACTGTTCGAGTTCCTCGTGGGAGCACGAGGCGGTGCCGATACTGTCGTCAATGTAACGGAGGAAGAGGTGGGGTTTAGGGCCAGTGTAGCTACGGAAGAGGGACTGTTCCACGTAACCTACAAAGAGGCAGGCATAGCTTGGGCCCATGCGGGTAACCACGGCCACTCCCTTTGTCTGTAGGAAGTGGGAGGAATTAAAAAAGAAGTTGTTGAGGGTGAGGACGAGTTCAGCTAAGCAGATGAGGGTGTCAGTGGAGGGGGACTGGTCGGGCCTGCGGGACAGGAAGAAGCGGAGGGCCTTTAGGCCATCTGTATGGGGAATGCAGGTGTATAGGGACTGGACATCCGTGGTAAAGATGAGGTGTTGGGGACCGGGGAATTGGAAGTTCTGGAGGAGGTGGAGGGCGTGGGTGGTGTCATGGACGTAGGTAGGGAGTTCCTGGACCAAGGGGGAGAAAATGGAGTCAAGATAGGTGGAGATAAGTTCAGTGGGGCAGGAGCAGGCAGAGACAATGGGTCGACCAGGGCAGTCAGGTTTGTGGATTTTGGGAAGGAGATAGAAGCGGGCGGTGCGGGCTTGGGGAACGATGAGGTTGGAGGCTGTGGGTGGGAGGTCACCTGAGGTGATGAGGTTGTGGATGGTTTGGGAGATGATGGTTTGGTGGTCGGGGGTGGGGTCATGATCAAGGGGGCAGTAGGAGGAGGTGTCGGAGAGTTGGCGCCTGGCCTTGGCGATGTAGAGGTCAGTGCGCCATACTACAACTGCGCCTCCCTTGTCCGCGGGTTTTATGGTAAGGTTGGGATTGGAGCGGAGGGAGCGGAGGGCTGCACGTTCTGCGGGGGAGAGGTTGGAGTGGGTGAGAGGGGTGGAGAGGTTGAGGCGATTGATATCTCGATGGCAGTTGGAGATGAAGAGGTCGAGGGAGAGTAGGAGGCCTTGGGGTGGTGTCCAGGAGGAGGGGGTGTGTTGGAGGCGGGAGAAGGGGTCAGTAGTGGGAGGGTTAGGCTCACGGTTGAAGTGAGTGTTGACAGGTTGGCTAACTGAGCACTAGGCACAAACTCAATGCCCACATTGATTAAACACAGAAGGAGTCACTCAACAGCAAACTGGAGTGAGTC